TGCCCTCGTGCACACCTCGCCAGCGGCGCGGTCTCAGCAGCGGCTGACATCACCGTAGCCGTCAGCTCGGCGGCGATATCTCCCGTTGGCCGCCTGAGCACCGTGGGCGGAGGGCGGCTGGACGCCCTGTTTGGAAGGCGACACGTAGGTGTTTCTCCTTCCTCAACCGCTCGATGTCGATACGGATCCGGCTGCTTCCGCTGTTCCCCCGCACTCGTTGGTTGGGTGCGACACGGGGGGGGAGGCGGACAGTCGTAAGCACGAGGTTGTGGTCAGAGTCTTTGAAGTCGGCACGCTTGACGGAGACATTACACACGAAACGCCGGTCTGCCTGACGCATGAGGGTGAAATCGAGGCGGTACTTCTCCTTCCCCTTGTTGGAGCTCTGGAATGTGTGCTGCACTCCACCTTTCGGTGTCCGGAAGTAGGTGTTGGCCAGGTGGAGTTGGTTATCTGATGCCAGTCCAAGGAGGCGTTCCCCGTTGTTGTTCATAATGTCGCGTTCGTACGCGCCCATAATCTTGGCATCGCAGCACCCGTCTCGCCTCCTTCCAGCGCGTGCGTGCGTGCGTGCGTGCGTGTTGGCGCCTATTCGAAAGCAAAAAGTACACACAAAAAACAACGCCGCGGGTTTCAGCGGGGAATGCATAAAATATCCCCCCGTGTTGGCGCCCTGAGGGCCACCACTACTACCACCTTTTCACCAGCGCAGTGCTCCACACCAACACCTCGGATCGGCACAAAACTTGGCGGCAACTTCGATCAAGTTATATAAGACACCGGTGAGAGGTTCAAGGGCATTGTAATGTAGGAAAGGTGGAGAAAGACGGGGGTGTATGACTTGAGGGCACAAGAGGAAGGTTTCGGGCTACGGTGACACCGCGTTTGCCAGGCAACTTTCAGCCAGTTGGGTTACCATCAAAACATGCTCTGCAGTAGCAATTGAAGTGGCAGTGGACCGGGTCTATCGATGAACATTGAATGAAAGGTGTGCACGATTTGGGATCAGTACTGCAGCGCGTGAAATCGGTGTAGCAGATGTGCCTCCGAAAACGCGGCGGAACTTGCGAGAACGCGGATTGGGTTTCACCGCTACTAGCCGGTATAGCAGGTTAAGCGGCCCCCGTGCATCTCTAGCACTGCTTGTTTAGCCATGAAAGTGACAGGATGCTGCATTTGTTTTTTTTCTCCCATCATCGGATTCTGTCGTCTGCCCCTTTGGCCCCTATCGTCCACTTCTACTAGCTAGACGACCCAACTGGGGTCACATAGGTTGCGGGGGCTGGACCCCTCCTGCGGTTCCTGCCTGAGGTATTTTTATCGCGAGGAGGGTACGGCAATCCCTTCCTTCGCGACGTACGAAGTCGATTATGGTGTACGAGCTTTGCAACGCGTCGCTTTCATCCTAGACCAGTATTTATTTAGTGAGAAAATAGCTCACGCTTTCGGGCCTCGAACCCATGACCTGGCCCTTAGCAGGCTGCGAGGTTACCCACTAGACCACCGGGGCGACCGGTATGTATGTGTGCCCTTGGTTCACTTTCCCTCACATGAAGCTCCTAAATCAACACGTTGAATGTTGCTGCCGTCTCTTTTGTTAGACAGGGTGATGTCGGAGGAATGCTGCAGCGCATGCCGGCAACCGACTGCAACAGTTGACGTTCACTGCATGAGAGAAAGAACCGGGGGTAATGTCCGGGCATCCGTGGAGGCAGCCGGCGTGGCAGTCAAGTTCCCCGCCTTGAAGTGCGGCGATCCAGACACAGACAAGCTCGTCCTATGTAAACGTGGGGGTTGTCTATTGGAGTTGTTCGTCCTGAACCAGCAAAAGGAGAGCAAGGCGCCTAGCAAACGCCGAGCAAGGCGAGGGCCGAAGTGGACGTGCGCTCCTGAACCTGCCAAGCAGCTAAAACGCGGGTGCATTGATCGCTACTGCACTTCGCCTCCGGCGTTGGAGGCTTTGCTGGGTGTTGTTAGCATTAGCGGGTGTGTGCTGGACATGTGCGGGGGGCCGGGTGATGCTGTAGTGACTCGCCTTCGAGACATGTGGCAAGTACTCACGAACGATGTACGACCGAGGTGAGGGGGTGCTTCGCGTTTTTTTTGTGTGCTTGGGGTAAGGTATGCGAACTAGATAGCCACCCGTCCTGCCATCCATAGCGCTGGGTGTTCTAGCGTAACATACCCCTGAACTACCCAGCACGAAATGACGTAACTCGTAGTCGCATCATGAACGCTGTTTGCCTCTTGGTGTGGTCCGTCGCAAGGATGCTAGCTACATACAGTCCTAGACGAATAACAGTCAATCTGTTTTCAATCTTGCCGAGTTACATACAGAAGTACGACGGACGTAGTTGTGCAATCTGCTCTAAGCTTTACGTGTCTTCTTTCGTACGGTCCCGTCGTAGGTAGGCTCGCACCAGCGGACGCTCATTGTTTGTCCAGCCCTTTTTTATCGTCGAAGTTTGACTGTGTAAAACCAGATGCATTGTTGTTTGAACCCTCCATAGCTTCAATAGGCCGCAAACCGAGTGTACTCACGGCACAGATGTTGCTTTCGGTACACGCACATGGAGCAACTCAAGCTTGACTGTATGTATCCGATTTTTACCGAAGCATGTCGGGGAAAGTCGTAGTCTGCAAGTGACCGACAGTGACGGACGCATTTTGTTTTTCTTTGGTGTGGTCCTTTGGTGTTGTTGTAACCTTAAAAAAAACTATTTCCTAAAACAAAAACGTGTGTTGTTTTGTATTCTGACGCCCTTTGCATCCCACACGATTGCTCACCTGTTTTTTGTTTTAAGGTTGTCTCCGGACACGAACCTGGACGCGAGCTCGACGTCATATGCGGACGACTACCTCGCAGCACACAACGGACAACAACCCGACTGGGTTGTGGCGAGTCCCCCGTACAAGGGCGCGCTGTCCTTTGTCAAGGCGGCGTTGACGGTGGCGAAGGAAGGCGTGGCGCTGAAATTGCCGCTGTCGTTTCTGGAACCCTGTGCCGACCGAGCAGGTTGGCTTCAGGAGAACCCCCCGTCGCTATGCATGATGATGAGCAGGGCCCGGTACCAACCCGCCCACGTGAGGGTTGGCGAATTTTGGGGTGTGTGGTACCCTCCTGGTGGTGGCTCTAGTATTGGTGATAGCACGAAGCTTTCATTTCTTCCTAGTTAGAATGGATTGTTGAGAGTCCGGGAGGACGAAATCGCGCATGGATGTTTTCTTTTTGTGTTACGCTTACAATGACGTCACTCTTCAGCTACCCTTAGGTGTCAGAGGGCGTGCCTCTTGCGGTAGACCCACAAGCCGATGTTCCGACAATGAACGGCAATGCGCACGAGCACCTCGTGAGTGCGATAGGAATGAGGGAAATGCACCACTGCTGCGACTTCGCGAATTTCCGGCAACACGTACCCGACTCGAGTATTTGGGGGTCAGTGTCTGTCGTTGTTGGGTGGCGAGGACGCTCTCGTTCGTGTGCTGGGGTTTCTCATTGACCTTTTCGGCAGCTCCCCTTTTTGTGTTCGCGGCGCACGGCGCGCTGGCCGCGGCATCGGAGCGTGTGTGCCTACTTTCGTTCTGTGTGTACTACCAAAAGCAGTTGTACCGGGTGGCGTCATGTGAAGAACTGCCCAAAATATTTGTTTGCAGTGCTTCGGGATCTTCGTCCTGTTGTTGACATATTATTTGCAGCAAGGAATGCAACGAACTATTTTCAATTATCAAACGGACATCACCTTTACCGGCGCTGCCATATTACCGGTCGACAACATCACCCGCTGCTGCGTACTGCCGCCCAACCCTTCGTTGGCGAGTTGTTCCTCGTACTCTCGCGCATCCTCTTCGGAGAATCCACAAACACCGGAGTGCAACCCAAACGACGAATGCCCTTCTTGGTCGAAACCACCCAAACATTCCACGACCGGCGATTCTTCATCTTCAACAGACTCGGACTCGCTGCCACTATCATCATCGTCGGGCAGTACCTCCTCAGGAGTAGATCCTCGCTGCACCCTGGGTAAAGTGCTTTGTTCCTCGAGGCATGCAAGGTTGCACTTGCACAACTGTGAACGACGACCTGGACCACCCCTTTGCATGCAAACGCAGCCCCTACATTGACCCTTCCCCCTTTCGGATGAACATTTGCACGACACGATGTGAATCCCTACACCAGCCCAGAGGGCCCCCTTCGGCAATTCAAGCAACAACAGCAAGCCCCCCCTTCGCACTCCGGATTCGCAATGTACCCCTTGTGGTTCCAGTCGGGAATATCAATCGGATACATGGCGGACACATTTTTGGAAGGGACAGGCACAATCGAGAGCCAATACTCCACCACCCATTCCATGCGTAGCACGCAGTTGTTGATAACGTCGTATTTTGGGCCAGCAGCTTGAATGTCCCCCTTCCCAAAACAGTGTTCGGTCGTGCGCTCGCTGATGGCCTGGATCCATGGCCCTACGTCATCGACCTTATTCAACAACATATTCGCCTGATTGAGAGCGTAGCATCTGATTGAGAGCGAGATTGCGCGATACGCTGTAGCCGGACTACCACTGAGAGGTGGAGCTTGCTGTGTAGCTTGAATTGAAGGGCTAGCCCGTAGCTTCAAGCCGCTACCCTGGTCATCCTGTGGGAGTCTCTCG